ACCGAGCCAGCGACAACCAACATACGAAGGAAGATTTTTTACTTTACTTACGAAAATGCTCAATCCAATTCCAATTTCATTGGAAGACATGTTTTTTGTCGATACTTTGAATTCTGAAGATAATGAGAAGTTTAGTGCAACACGTGATCGACTACTTCATTTTATTGCACAGCACCGTGAAAGCAAGCAAAAAATGAAAGCTAATATTATCGTGCAATCCAACGAACTTCGCATGCTAAGAGAAGCTCTAAAAAAACAATATCTCAAAGCTGAAGAGAACAAACAAGCTCTTGAAACACAAATCAAGCGAATGACAGAGGAATACGAAGCTGTCAGGAAGGATCGAGAGAAGAGATACCAAGATATGATGTTCAAATTACAGTTAGCAAAACAACAAGCAGCAGAAGAAGAAAAAGTTCATGAACTTGCTAGTATCGAGTTGGAAACTCTACATAAAGAAAAGAAAACAGGTCTAAAAGGGCAATGCCAGCAACTTTGGGGAAAAGTTGAAGATGAGAAAGGAATTGTTAAGAAAGTAGACAAATGCTATAAAATCGTAAGGAACGAGTTGCGTGTTAAATACAAAGGCGACGAATATGATGAAGAGAAGAATTTCAAGACACAGAGCAGCACAATCGAGGACAAGAATGAAAGGAACGAAAAATTTCATGGAGATCAGCTGAATAAAGTTCAGAAGAAGCTCAGTAAGCTGTGCAATAGCAATTCTGATTCTAGTCTTCTCCGTCCTGTTGTTATCGGTGGTGTTACTGGTGCTGTTGTTGGTGGTGCTGCTGGTGCTGTTGTTGGTGGTGCTGCTGGTGGTGCTGCTGGTATTGCTTTAGGTTCTTGTGCTATCGCTACTGCTGCTGCTGGTGCTGCTGCTGGTACCGCTGTTGGTGCTGTTGCTGGTGGTACCTTTGGTGGTATTAGTGGCGCTATTGTTACTCTTTATAGGCGTCGTAGGAAGTGAAATCCTACTTAGGGTTGTCCAAAAGTAGTGACAGAGGTTCTTTTTTCTTCTTATTGCAAGCTTGAAAAAATTTTCTTTTTTATGAATAGATAGACCATCTTTCGTTTTATCTTCTATGCTATTTGATCACTATTAAGCTACTATCATAATAATAGAGTTTCGATAACAACTATTTTTGTAGAAAATCAACTGGAAACCTTTAAATCATAATGACTGTGGTATAAAGCATGGGACACTTGGATTTCATTTTATTATCACTTAATACGCTGCATTAAAAAGACCAAAATATACGAAAAGATGCATTGTGAAAAGTTCTGCAATGTAAGAAGTACCGCTTATTTTATAGTTGTACTTTTTGTTTCAAAAATAGACACAACTTTAAGTTATCAAGTTTCGACGTGATGAAAACGGGGCTTTTTTTGGTAAAAAAGCGAATTCAGTTTTTTTGCTATCTTATCTTTGTATAGTAGTTCTTTGTAAACTGTAGAGGTCTTTATGCTGCATCTTGCAGTCTATTTTACTTTTTCAAATTAAACATATCAAGTAATAAAGAGATGAGACAGAAAAAAACGGAATTAATCGTTTACGAAAACAAAAATCTTATTTTCGAAACGTCGAAATTTGGCAGCTCAGAGTTTTGTCCATTTTTGAAACAAAAAGTATAACTATGAAATAAGCGGTACTTTTTATATTGGAGAGCTTATCACGTTGCATCTTCTAGCATACTTTGTTTTTCAATAAAACATATTATTTAATGATAAAATGGAAGGAAAAAATACCATATCTATTATGATCTAAACGCTACCAGCTGGTTTTCAGCAAAAAGAGTTCTTATCGAAATTTTACTATTATTCCCTTGACTGTAGGGAGGGTCATATGAAAAAAATGGGTTGTATGTATGTTTATTTGCGTCAGGGTCAAAAAAACATCCGCTTAAAGCTGTTTTCTATGAATGTTGTCAAAAGTAAATCGAGGTCGGGGAATCCGAATCTAAAGTCAGATTCTCAAAATTTTGAGTTGAGTTTTTTTGGGTCAAGGAGAAAAACTTTTTGAGAAAATAATAATATTTCCTCTAATGTAGGAAGAGTTAAATGAAATAAAATAAATTTTTGTCTGTTTTAGTCTGAGTGAAAGATGAAACGTCATTAAAAAAATCTTGGCTATGTGTTCGATGCTTGTGCTTTTAATACTGGACTTTTCACCAATTCGATTTGTCAAACTGAAAATTCAGTTAATCCGACATATGTGATAAGTTCTTCCTCAATCAACTGTTTTCATAGCTAGATTTCCATGGATGAGACTTGTTTTTAGCTGAGTTTCTAACTGATGATACTTTGTGTAGGACTACTCTAGTCAGTGAGACATTCTGGATCTGGAATTGGAGAAAATATGAGTTCGTTGTTCCTTGTTGAAGAGGCATAGTTTTTTTTTTGACAATACTGTCAGGCATTAAGATATATCCTGATTGAAATCTTCGTCTAATAGCGGAGAAAGAAGGACATGATGGTGAGATATTCAACTTTTTTATTTTATTTTTTTGTTAGAATCGTGGTAAATGTGGTTATAGCTGTTTTAGAAAAGCTTGTTTATTTTATAGTCAAAGTCACAATAATTCCATGATAACTTTGTGTGAGAAAGTGAGCAAACTCACACATACCAACTAAAACGATTCTTCAAAATGATCAATTTCTAAGGAGAAGTTCACTGAAAGCCCTTTCTAGCTAGTGAGGAGTCTCAAACAGAGGAAGGGAACTTCACATCCTTGAAAACATACGGTCTTTTAATTCTAACTTTCATCTATCATTTCGAACTAGGAACTAGTTTCATAAATATGCTTTCTTGGCGATCGACTCCTTTAATTGAATATGAATTATGAGTTGAGTGTAAGTGTCAGTATTAGTGTAAAGAAGACTTTCATGCCCGCACCCAACTAAACTAAATAGCAGCTAATCATTCAATCGAAGGTCAAGCGAGTCATGCTGACGAGCGTTACTTGTTTCTTTAACTGTTGATAATAACCTTTTCCTAAAATGTGAAAATCCATTTTAAAAGATTGTGGTTAGAATAAAATTTTTACAATTATTTCTTTTAGTGTTTACTTTTATCAGTGAATTTTGTTGTGAAAGTCATACGATGAATCATTGATTAGTAGGCAAACTATTTTATTTGATAAAACGAAGAATGATAGCATTATGTCCTGGATTCTTTTTCTTTTCTATTTGTGTTTGTTAGTCAGTTAATGATTTCAAACATTTCGTTGGTCGTGATAAGCACTATATATCGAAGAATACTACAGATATAAATATTTATATTTCTTTGTTTATTTTGTTTTTTCAGAAATGCCCGAAAAAGTCCATGTACCGATATAACATGTGATAATGAAATCAAAGAATTATATGAATGTCATTGTTGTTTACATCTTGTTTGTTTTTATCATTTGAGTAAACATATTGAAATAGTAAAAGAAAATAAACAACGATTGAATAATCTTCGTAATGAATTAAATACAGTTGTATATACACTGGAACTAATTATTGAAGAAAAACTATTGATTATTGAATGTGAACAAAATTTGATTGAACAAGCAAAAAAAATTTTTGACAAACCCAGCAGTTCAATGGATGAACTAAAAAATATTATCGAAAAAATTAATCAAACAATAGCATCAAATCATTCAAGTAAAAACTAAATTAGATAATCGGATTTTTTTGTATATTTTTCTTTTTTTTTTGTTATAGAAGAAATCACAGTGAAAGTCGAATCGTCATTATTAGAAACTAAATATTGTTCTTGTGTTTGCAAATGTAATAAGGAAAACATGAATTCAAACAGTAACATGAAATTTCTTTCTAAAATATTTTTTTTTGTTTTCATTATCTTTATATTTGTTTGTTTCGGTCGAATCCTTAATAAAAAGTGGTTGTAGTTAATGAACTAAGTCATGACTTTTCTACCGAATTTTCAATCTGCCAGTGTCCATAGACATAAGTTTGATGACTCTCAGAATATTCGGAAAGTTTCAGCTGTAAAAAAAAACGTCCATTTATCGAGATACTGTATTTCCAAGTAAATTATAGCCAGTGGCTATTTATTACAAATTTAATGCCTCAATGAATGAGCATCTTTTTTTTCGCTGCAGATGTCAAGTCCATTGTTAAATAGATCGATAGATAGATTCGGTTAATTTATTTTTAAATAAATCGGCTCATGAGCACGACCTCTTTCACGTCTTCTTTTTACTCTTAGCGAATCATATATTTCACTCGTAGGATAATAAAAGCCTCCAAAATATAAGTTTTTTGGGTGTGGGTGTGGGTGTGGAAAACAACATCACACCCTACACCCACACTCTCAAGTATGTTGTATCATCATATGACGTATCAATACGAGAAATTAGACTACGCTGGAATTGGCATCCACCTTCGTTGATTGTTGCAAATGATGATATGACAATACCTAGTATAGATGACAAAGGCATAGTTTATATGTGTAGCATGTCTCTCGTATTTGCTATCGACAATGTGGGAAAAACAGTATGGACAAGTGAATTGGCAACACCAAGTGAAATTAAAACATTTCACTTAGCTTCTTTTTGCATTGCAATGAATTTAAAA